TAATGTGTTCGGGCAGGTTGTAGAGATTCCTCGCTTGCTAAGCTTTCTTCCATCCTTAGGGATCATGGATTCAGGCCATGTGGCCTTTGTCCTGTAGCCTGGTCAGGCTTCTCCGCCGGTCCCCCGGCATGTTTACCCTCTCACTGGCTCGTGCTTGCTTCTCTCTCTGCTCCTTCCTCCCTTCCTTCTTTCCCACTACTTCTCCCTTCTTCTTTTGTTTGTTTGTTTTTCGAGATGCGGTTTCTCTTTGTAGCCCTGGCTGTCCTGGAATTCGCTCTGTAGACCAGGTTGGCCTCGAACTCGCGGGGATCCTCTTGCAGAGACATCTCTGGAATTAAAGGTGTGTGTTACCACCACCCAGCCCTCTTCTACTTCTTAATGCTACTAAACTCTGTATCTCAAGTCCCTGTATTCAAGGCCAGCCCCTGCTATATGAACTCCTGTTTCAAAAAGCATTATTACTCCAGAATTCACACACAAAGTTAGTCGAGACAGGACAGGAAGTGCAGTCTGAAGCATGTGCACACCGATGAACAATTAAAGTTAACCAACAGATCATTTTGTTGGTACTCAACAAACAAAATAGATTCATATGCAAACATCTGTCGGAAAACGCTCTTGAATAATAAATGAATCATTTTGTTAATTTATGTACATCTTGTGTGCAACTTAAAGGAAGTATAGCTGGAAATATTTCTATATAAAAGCCATAACGACCAGGCATAGTGCCACCACAGAGACTGAGGTAGGTGGATCTGTATGAGTTCCAGGCCAGCCCAGAATACATAACATAGTGAGACACTGCCCTTAAAAAAAAAATATATATATATATATACACACATATATGTATGTATGTATGTATGTATGTATGTATGTATGTATATATAATTGAAATATTAATTAACAGTCTTTCAAACCAGTCTCAGGAGTGCTTAAGAAAATAGCCAGGCGATTCTTGTTAGAAATGCCCTGCCCCCCATCAACCATTTCCGTTTTAATTGGAGTGCTTATCTGAAGCCTATTCTCTTCCCCACTCTCTTTAGTTGTAAATACAAAGGCACCCGCCACTAAGTCTGATGACCTGAATTCGATCCCCAGGACCCACGTGGTGAAAGGAGAAATTTAACTCCTGCAAGTTGTCTTCTGATCTCCACATGCATGCCCACCCACATGTATGATCACACAGTAAATTAAAAAGAAATGGAGAAAGAGAGAGAGAGAGAGAGAGAGAGAGAGAGAGAGAGAGAGAGAGAGAGAGAGAGAGAGAGAATGCCAGACCTAGACAATGAAAGATCTGCTGTCCAGTGGGCACCTGTACTTCCCACAGGGGATCCTGCAATCTCTCTGTGTTGCAGAGACTTTTTCTCCCTCCTTCGCCAGCACCCTCCTCCACTTTAAGACGTAGCTCAGCTTGTAGAATGCAGGCTAGTATGGATAAAGCCCTCAATTTGATGCTCAGCACCTTATAAAACAAGAGTGATGATGCATGCCTGCATCGTAGCACTCAGAAATTGGAGACAGGAGGGTTAGAAGTTCAAGGTACTGAGCTGGCTAGTCTGGGATATTGGAGAATCTGTTTCAGAACAAATCACACATGCACTGAGAAAAATTAAGGTAAACAATTTTTTTAAAAAAATCCTTCTTTATTTACGCTTGTATGTGCACCATATGTTCACAATGCCTTAAAGGTAAGAAGGTTGTGAGCTGCCTCATAGGTGCTGGGAACCAAATCCAGGTCCTCTACAAGAACAGGAAGCAACCTTAACTGCTGGGTCATCTCTCTATTGCCAAGATAAGTTGTGTTTTTATTTATTTATCTATCTATTTATTTATTTATTTTTGGTTTTACGAGACAGGGTTTCTCTGTATTGTTTTGGAGGCTGTCGGTCCAGCCCGGCCTCGAACTCACAGAGATCCGCCTGCCTCTGCTTCCCGAGTGCTGGGATTAAAGTTATGTTTTTAAATCACAAAGAAGACAAGGCTTGTAAAACTGTGTATTTCAATGTGTCTATTCAGGAATGACTCAGGACACAGCTAGAGGCGTCACAAATCAGGCCCTTGTGCCTTTCCAACATATGCTTCCAGAACTCCAGCAAGATGGTTTCGCCAACCTTGATGCAGAAGTGCCTGATGCCACCCGGCTCCCTGGCTCCCAGCGAGTTCGAGGCCAACCTGGTCTATAGTAGTGGTTAGTACAAGGGATCCTGGTATTTGAAGATGCCATTGTTTTTGTGGAGGGAAATGAGTTTCCGCCTCTTAGTAACACTTGCTCTTTGAGTAGTAACCATGTAACTAACCATTCTAGAATCCTGTTTGTGAGAGCTTGTTAAAAGGTTATTCAGTCCATTCATTAAAAAAAAAAAAACTGTTTGGCCAGGTCGTGGTGGCTCGCACCTTTAATCCCAGCAGAGGCAGGCGGATCTCTGTGAGTTTAAGGCCACCCTGGGCTACATGAGATTGATCCAGTCTAAAAGAGAAACAGCCAGGCAGTGGTGGCTCACACTTTTAATCCCAGCACTAGGGATGTGGAGACAGGAGTGGTGTGGCTGGGCAGAGAGGAATGTAAGGTGGGAGGAGACATTGCACTCAGCCTGAGGGTTCCTAGAGACACCCTTTCTTTTGGTCTGAGGTAGAGGTAAGAACTTTGGTGGCTGCTGTTCTGCTTCTCTGACTTGTCAGTTTTCATCCCGACAGCTGGCTCCAGGTTCTTATTAAGACCAATTAGAATTCGTGCTATGACTTTGTTTTATGTCTTTAAATGGTCTCATTATTTAGCCTAGCCTGGCACCAAATTCACCATGTAACCCAGGTTGGCCTTGAACTCAACGTAATTCTGCCATTCTAGGCAAACACTATACTAAATGAGCTACATTCCCAGCCCATCCTGGCATTAATGTGTGTAATCTAAAAGGCCTATCCGTGAGATAATGCCGTCTTTCTAATCCTGTATTCCTTTACTTGACTTGTATTTAACAACTACCTAGTTGACTTAGCTGAGGCCCAAACTTGTGTGCTGGCTTTGTTGGTGGTGATCTCTGTGGCTTCTTATGGTCACCCAGTGTGCTGGCTGGTTTTCTGTCAACTTCACACAAGCTAGAGTCATCTGAGCCTCAGCTGAGAAAAGGCCTCCGCAAGATCCAGATGTAGGGTATTTTCTTAATTAGTGGTTGATGGGGAGGGCCTCTCCGCCCTCCTCCGCTGCCTCTGCACAAGTTTCTGCCTCCATATTCTTGCTCTTTTTGAATTTCTGTCCTGACTTCCTTCAATGATGCCCAATGATATGGAAGTGTAAGCCAAATAAACCGTTTTCTCCCCAAGTTGCTTTGGTTATGATTTCATCACAGCAACAGGAACACTAAGACACCCAGGTAACTAATTCTATATGAAGCTGAACCAATGTCCTGATTAATTTTTATTGACAACTCAGAGTCACTTTGGTTAGAGGGACCCTCAACTGAAGAATTGCCTGGATCACATCTACCTGTGGCTGTGACTATGCGAAATTGCCTTGATTGATGTGGGAGGGTCCGTCCAGTCTACTGTGGGCGGTGCCGTCCCCAGGCAGGTGGGCCTGGCTATAAAAGAAAGCTAGTCGAGCAGGCCAGGGAGAGGGAGCCAGAAAGCGACCTTTGTCTGTGATGCGCGCATCAGTTCCTGCTGGAGTTTCTGCTGTGGCTTCCTCCACTAATGAATTGTGAAAGCCAAATAAACCCTTCCTCCCCAAGTTGCTCAGAATGTTTTAGCACAGAAAAGCAAACCAGAGCAAGCAAGATCTTCTAACGTTGGCAGCTCTCTTCCTCCACCCCCTTTATGTAGAAAAGATGCAGTTTGAAATTCAAGTTGAACTAGCAAAGCCATGAAAGGATGTCTTATTCTTTGGCTTGTCACTATGGACGAATCTATTTCCTTTCGAACCTTAAAGAAATACAGATGAAACAAGATCTTCCTGCCTCGGCCTCCCCAGTGAAGGGTTTACAGGTGTGAGTCACCATGCCTAGGTTTAGGTCTTTTTTAAACTCAAATATCGCCTGTAGGCATGGTACTGAATGTCTTTAATACTGGCACTCAGGAGACAGCCTGGTCTACAGAGTGAGTTCCTGGGCAGCCAGGACTATAGAGAGACCCTGTCTCAACTCTCCCCTCCCCCACCTGCTCCCACCTTGATAGCCACCATGGAAGTTCAGCACTCAGTTTTGGGTGCTTCAGAAAGGCAAGCATCTCCCCTTTAGGAACACACTGCCAAGAAGATCCTTAGTAATGAAGACCCCGTGGAAATGGGGCTATTTTCATAAACTAGAACAAATGACATAAGTAATGGGCTCGGATTTGGAAGGGGGGATGGACAAAGGTACCGTGACCCCATCAAGCATGTCCCTGTGGTATCACAATGTCACCACATTTTAAAGTTACTCCTTTCTCACTACTACATGCTGAGTGCCTTCAGAAGAACAGTTTCTCTTCACATCTATAGCCTGCCCTTGCTTTACACACCACAGACAGTTATAAATCATCACAGTCATCATACCCTGTACCCACAAAGCAGTCCCACAAGCGTACAAACAATCCACTGAGACGCACAAGTAAAAGCACATGTTCTTCAAGGGGCAGACATCCCTGGTGATGGATGGCAAGGGAGTAAATAGACAATATGCAGATCTCAAGAAATGTCTGACATGCTTTTCCGCAAATCCTGTTCAAATCCAACATTTATAATGTGCATGACATTGTCAGTCTTGACCAGGTTGCAAGTTTGTTACCACTTAAAAACTATTTTAGAACTTATTTTGAAAAAAATAAAGTATCTCACATAGCAACAGTATCTTAGAATTAGAAAACCTATCAACTGGATGAGAAAATTGAGTACAGCCAGCAACACTGGCCTTTTTAAGTCTGTGAGACTGTGTTCTGAAGTCAGGGTTGGTGTGGTCCCCTCTAGAAGACAGGAAGGAGGTCTACACCCCGAGACACAGAACTACTCCACTCAGAATAAGGACCAACCCTGCAGATTCATTATTTATTTAGGTTAACATTTCTTCAGCAGGAGTGCATGAAGTGGATTGAGCAGAGGGATGGATAGGCTGGCCCTATCCCTTCAAACCGCCTTCACCTCCAGACAGAACACTAAGCAAAAGTTCCTGATGGAAACAGGCTGAAGAGCCCAGTTCACGCCTCATGAGTCCAGGAGAAGAACTTGGGCTTGAACTCGAGAAATGCTTTCTGAGAGCCAGGCATGGTGATACATACCCAAAATTCAGAGGCAGAGGCAATTCAAGACCAGCCTGGGCTACATAGTGAGTTGAAGGCTACATGGTGAGATTTAAAAACAAAAACAAAAGCAAACACATAAAAGCTTCCTAGAGAAGCTAAGAGGGATCTCAGAAGGTAAACTGAACCCTGGGTACTAAAGGCACCTCCCAGAGGCCAGTCCATGTTCAAGTAGGAGACTGCAGTCCATGCATGCAGCATCACGTAGGCATGCTGTTATACCTTCAGGAGAGAAGTGGAGCACAAAGCCAGCACAGTTGAACATCCTGCCTCTCCACAGAACTTCCTGCTCCATCTCCTCCTTGGAGGCGGTAGGATGGGATGAGATGGACCAGTCACCTCCCCTTGTTGTCATCAGCCAGATTATGTAACAGGAAATGCTCCCGCCCTTGGAACAGACAGGAACACAGTTTTACATGTTTTAATAAATATCTCTTTGAGTCCAATGCTTTTGAAATTGATTGGCTGTTTCTCCACTGGAGTAAGTGGAAAGATCGTCTTGAGGGCTTTGATATACTTTCAGGTCGTCTGTTACTTGGAGGATTTTATTTTCCACAAGACTATCTTCTTTATCTACCTAAAATTAGTTTTAAGTTACATATGACAACCATAAAAAGTTTAGAACAATAAAAAGGCTGTAACTTTGCAGAAGTTCAAGCAGAACCTAGTCAGGAGGTCAGCTGCAGGAAGAGATGGGGGCAGGATGACCAGTATGCCGAGGAGTTGCCACCATAGCTGACTGTTTTAAATCTGTTTTTCTTTGAGCCAAGTCCAACATATGACACAAACTTAAGTTGATAGAACTCGACTGCCCAACTCTGATCTCCAGTGAGAAGTTTGCTGTGGGCGACAGGGGATGGCCCACCGTGCATCCTGGGCTGACTGTACATGCTCAGTGCATCCTGCTTCTGCAGTGGCTTCATGATCAACTGCCACTACTGATGCTGCCATTTCCAAGGAGATGTCTCCAGTGGCTTCATCGCTGGTACCAGGAGCACTTCATCACATCCGTGTATCCTCGATGGGGATGTCATCCTGTGAGCAGGGGAAGACAGACCGACATCAGTAGATCTCCTTGGGGATGTGAGATAAGGCAAAAACCATAAAGTAGGAGTGAGCCAGCAGGCAATATGCCCGATGTAGCTATTGTCACACCATTTAAACCTCAGAAAACCCACAGGAGTTAGGTAATTCCATGAATTCTATGTTATAGGTGAAACAATTAAGACATTGGAAGAGGGAGTGACTTTCCAGGGACACACAGCTAGCAAACGGTAGATTTGGAACTTAATCCCAGGGCCCAGAGTTTGAGATGTTAAATTACCTGCGAGGGCTAACAGAGAAGGAAGGTAATCTAAGGTACCGCCTTAGATTTGATGTCTATGTCACTTTTCTGTGGTGTGTGTGTGTGTGTGTGTGTGTGTGTGTGTGTGTGTGTGATACAGTTTCATGCAATGTGTGCATAGATGTACTTACACATCTGTGTAGAAGCCAGAGGAAGATGCTGGATGTCTTCCTAAGTTCTTGTCCGTTTTGTTTGTTTATTTATTTATTGAGACAGAGTCTCATTGTGTAACCCCAACTAGCTTGGAACTAGCTATGTGGACCAGACAAGCCCCAGAGATTCTCCTGCCTCAGCCTCCCATGTGCTGTATATACCACCATGCACTCTTTGTCACCCCTCCCCCCTTTAAAGCATGGTGTGGAGGATCTGAGTTTAGATCCTCATGTTTGCATGGCAAGAACTTTACCGACTGACTTCTTCCCCCTCCCCACATCCCCCTTTCTCTTGGAGAATGCATTGCTTCATCCTTCCTACTTCTCACATCATTATTAGCATGCGGATCCCATTGTTATGTCTTGTTTCTGCTGCTGCGCCTCCCCTACTTTGAAACCCCAGTCTCTCCCACAGTGATAAGGATGATCTGGGCTTCTTAGGTGCTGACCGAACAGATACAACTGTAATTATTTGGTCAGTTAATTTATTTCTACTGATCAAAGCACAAAATGGGATTAGATTGGGACTGAGAAGCCATTTGCTATTTTATGCCGCCTCTCTCTGCCAGCCCCAGGAAAGACCCAGGAATGGCATGGGAGCCTGGGGAAGTACCAAGCGACCTCTCATAACTAGTATCCCTGGGGAACCCTATGCCCTAGTGTTCGGATGCATTCTGATTCTAGTCTGGACCAGCCTTGACAGGGACCAAAGAAGATGGGAATCAATTTCCCCTGTGGGTCAGAAGCACATAGACAGAGGTGCTTCATACACAGATTATTAAGACTTGAACAGGTGCCCAATAGTCAGCACTGATGGAACTTGGTGACCTTGGACAATTTCCAGGCCCACAGTACCTTCCCTTCTAAAACCAGGAGGGTGGGCTAAAAAGTATATAAGTTTTATCTCTCAGAGATTGGGGGTGGGGTGAGAGTGTGGCGATGTGGGGAGGGCAGCTTTTCTTTCTCTATCTGAGATAACTGTTGGCTGGGAGCACTATTGGCTGGGAACACCGTTTAGCTGGGAGAATCGCTGGCTGCTCCTGAGGCATTCTCTCCCCTGGCCAGGGCTCTCTGGGTTAGGAATACAGAGTTTAAAGCTGGAGAGATGACCAGAGAGAGCCTGCCCTATAGCTCTGGCCTGAATTTTCTTCAGAAAGCCATCCTCAACCTGAGACTCTCTGCCAACTTTGTCCCCAGGAGCCCCCCACTCCCGGGGACCAGAAGAGGCTGTCAGTGAGACCAAAGGGTTCCCAGGAAGACAGGTGCCACTCAACCTGGGCAAGTGAGGTGTGGGAACCACTGGTGGAGGACTACTTGGACTCCAAGAAGACTAAGGGGTTGGGTGTTTACTGTAATCTGGGGATTTAGTGGAATCTCCAGCTTCTAGAAGATTCTAAACCTAGGGACTATTCATTTCAAATCTAATGTAAAGAAGTATTAAAGTGATGTACTCTCTGTGGGCATGTGAGACTTTCTTCTCCCTAATCTACTTTGCATGATAGAACCGAGGAGGAGCTTCACAGCACAGCGAGACCTCTTGCACCTGATGCTCTGTTGTTAGGAGTCATTTACTTAGGCAAGTGACTTTCATCTGTTCAGCTGGACATATTGGCCCAATCCTCAAGAGGCTACAGCTGGGGGATTTCCTTGAGTTCAAGGCTTCCTGGACTAATAGTGAGTCTCAGGCCAGGCTGAGCCATAGAGTAAGACCTTGACTTGGGAAACTAATTAGTTAGCTAAAAAACTCACTCATTCTCTCTATACATATTTTTTAAGGACCGACCATGTTCCAGATTCTACAGGAAGTGTTGAGGGTATAATAGAAGAAAAGTAGAAGAGACAATAAAAATAAGAGGAGAGGAGCTGGAGAGATGACAGTCAGTGGTTAAGATCACTCACTGCTCTTGCAGAAGACCTGGGATTGGTTTCCAGCACCCCCATGGGGGTTCACAACCATGTCTAACTCTTGTTCTAGAGTATTCAATGCCCCTCTTTTAGCATCCACAGACATGGCATGCATGTGTACACCTACATACATGCAGGCAAAACATGCATACACATAAAATGAAATAAATGAATCTAAAAACACACAAACAAAACCCAGGAAAAAGACAAAGTGAATTTCTGGGAGAGAGTAGCTGTGGAGTGGGAGCAGATCTCTTTGACTGAGTGGTCACAGAGAGAGGCTTTAGTGACAAGCGTCAGTTGAGACAGGAAGGATGGGTTGGAAGTCACCATATGAGGATCAGAAAGAGGACAGTTACACTTGGAGGGGCTCTAAAGGAGCTCGGAGCAGGGAATGAACCTGGTGTGTTGCATAAGAAAGACATCAGATCACTAGGGCGGTCTCTGGGGAGAGCCGGGGAAGGAAGCGTGTCCATTTCTACACCAAACTTGATCTTATTTGGAAAGCAGATTGCTGCAGGTGTGATGAGGGACCTCAAGAGGAGAGCACCCCAGCTTCAAGGCACACCCTGCCTCTGAAGACTGATGGCTGACAGAGAAAAGGAGGAAATCTGAGACACACAGGCAAAGGTCACACAGAGATGGTGACAAAGATTGGAGTGAGGCATCCTCAAGCTGCAGATTGCCAAGCACTATGTCAGTCACCAGGAGCTGGAAAGACAGTAAAGGTGCAGACAACTAACTGGAGAGGGACCGGTTATTTTAGCCCTCGGGAGGGCTCTGTTTGTCAGCATCTTAACCTTGGAGTCTCTGACATTCTGAATTGTGAGAAACTACATTTCTATCAGTATGTATGTATGTATACATGCATGCATGCATGTATTTATAGACAGGGTTTTTAACTTAACTCAGGCTGTCTTGGACTCATTATGTAGCCCATGCTGGCCTTGAACGCATGCCGTTCTTCTATCTCACACTGAGTGCTGGGATTTACAGTCATTAGCTGTACACTTGGTTTATTTCCGTTGTTTCAAGCCACTAACCCTGTGAAATTGTGTCTGGAAACCTAATAAAAGAGGTGAGAAATCCTGCCAAGAGTAGCTCCATGCCAGCCAACTACACACCCACCCACGATTCAGTTACCGTGTAGAGAATGAATCTTATGGAGAGAGCAGAAAGGATGACAGGAAGGCAAGAGGCTACCACAGTGGGACGCACATGGCGGCAGAGTGAGAGACAAGACTGGAAATGAGAACATAGGATGACAGGGCTAAGGAAACTAACTGTCGGGAACAGGCTAGGGAGGGGCTCCCAGTTGTGCTTGGGGAGCTTCCAGTCCTCCTCAGAACCGGGTGTTAGTCAGACAGGTGAGTTAGGGGATTTCTGGAAGCTGGTGGGAGCAGGACAGGAGGAGAGGGTCCAGGGTGTGTGGGCTGACAGAGGCAGGGACTGTGCTGTTTCCCACCTCAGCTGCAACACAGGACATTGTCTGTGACTAAGTGGATGTCACACAAAGCCTCCTTTAAAGACCCAACCCAAGGCCACTTGTGCTTGGAAGTGTCCCTGATGTCTCATCCCTGCTCTCTACACCCTTTCCCCTGGGGACCCCAGCAGCAGCACCCTACCCCAGCAGACACTGCCGGCATTAGTCACAGAGTTGTTGTCCAAGCCCTGCTCACTCTGTGTCCACCCAGAAGCTGGCCCAGCCAGCCAGAAGCAGGCCAGAACACGAGACACACTTCCCTTCTAGTCCCACAACATCTCTATGCAGTCAGCACAAGGTGAGGGACCCGGTGACTTTGTTTCTGCATTCTGAGCTGATTTAACACCAGACCGGGAGAAACAGGACAAGAGACAATGGGTGCGGCTCAGGCCATAATGAGGTTTGAACATCAGGGCCACCTACCATGTAGACTTCTTGATCATTCTGGACTTCATTGCTGGTCTCTCCTGAAGCACTGTCGACCCCGGGGCTGCAGCCTGGTTCCACAGGTGCCCCCTCCTTTTGTTTTGTCTCTGCCTCTGGGACAATGGTGCCCTCTACTCTTCCAGAAGAACTTTGGGGGGCCTTCTCCCTGACTTCTCCCTCTTCATCTGCCACACCCTCCTCAGAGGCTGTCCCTTCTGTGGCCTTTCCAGTGTCTGTATGCTCTCCAACGGCTGTCCCCTCCGGTGGGCTTCCACACCCATTCTCAGCCTCTGTGCTGCAGGTTCGGGGTGGCTCCGGGGCCTCCAGGCCGCCCTGGCTAGCTGGGTCTGGATTCCATCCAGCCTCCTCTCCTGCACTGGCCTCCCCTGAAGTTGCTACCCGCTCGTCTGGCTTCTCCGTGCTGTTGCACACTCTCCTTCGAGGAGGCTTTTCTGCAGACCACGGGTTTCCCTCCACCCCGTCTCCCATGGCCTTCTGGTTGGATGGGGGAGACCCGGGGGCCTTGCTCTTGTTAGGGAACACATCATCCCCGTTCTCTACCCCGGCACCATTTTCCTGAGATGGCTCCACAGCCCTGTAGTCTAAAAGGTCCCCACAGTCTGACTGAGACCGTCGGAATCGCCGGGAGGGCGGACGTCTTTTTATTGAGCCTCTAGTCCGCACCTGAAAGAAGATGTGAAGGACTATTATCAGGAAAATTACGTTTCCTAGGAGGGCATAAAGTTATTTGTTGTTTATTATAAATCAGAATGTAGAGCAGTGTTTCTCAAGCTGTGGGTTAGGACCCTACGGGGTTGCATACCAGATATCGTAAATATCAGATATTTACATTACGATTCATAACACTAGCAGAATTACAGTCGTGAAATAGCGATAAAATACCTTTATTCTTGGGGGGAGGGTCACCACACATGAGGAACTGTTTTAAAGGGTCTCAGAATTAGGAAGGTTGAAAACCACTGCGCTAGATGATTACAAAACTACTTGGTGGGCTGCAGATTTTTATCTCGGGAAGATATACGTGCTTTCCATCCATTAACTGGGGAGATAGCTCAGGGAGCAAAGTGTTTGCTGGGAAAGGGTGAGAACCTGCGTGTGGAGTCTCTGCACCAATGTAAAAAACACAGGCAACCTGTGAATTTGAGACAACAGATCCCTGGAGCTTACTGACCAGCGCTCCAGTCAATGGGTGAGCTCTGGGTTCAGTGAGAATGACCCCAGACATGGTAGGTGATGTCTTTTTACAACAGTCAAAAGTTTGAACACCCGAGTTTGAACACCACAATAATTCGATGGAGACAGCGCTTACCTTAGTGTAAGAGGGCAGGTGAGTACCCTCCGGGGGCTGGTCAAAGCTCACAGGCACCTCTTCTGGCTCTCCTGGCTGAGACCGGATGCCAGGGCTACTGGGTGTGGAAGGGGGACTGTGAAATGGTGACACCACGGCCTTGAGTCCAGGACTTTTGGGTGAAGCCCCAGGCAGGAGAGCTGCTGGGTCAAAGGCTAAGTTGGCCTGTCAAGAAAGGGAGAAGATGGCGGCTTCTGCTTTGTTCTGGCCTCACTGGCCTCTCAGCTGGTGGAGGATACTCAATAGCAAATGTCACATACTTTCCCTCAACCGATTATCCGCCATTCCCGGAGGCAGCTTGTGGAAGCATGGTCTACCCATCCCTCCTGCTACCTGGCTCACGGAAGGTGGCCTTGTTGATTGCTCAGATCCTGATGAGGTGAACCTCTCAGAGAGGCGACCGGCAGGCAAGGCTGGCAGAGCAACAGAAAGTTCCACACAGCCAATTATATTTAATACCGGGTCTTTCTCTTGATAGCTGCTGTGTGATCGTGAGCAAATCTAAACTCCCTTCTGAGACTCAGGTCTTCTATTTGTCCCAACTTTTAGCCTGACCTCCAATAACCTTATGTGGCTTATTTCTGGTCACTCTCGTGTGTGTATTGTGTATTGCTTGGCTAGTACCCCACACTCACAATGCCCCACCCACTAACACTCCCCCAGGCAAGACTGATGACCTTGAGAATGCGCAAGGGTTGTTAGCATTCAGGCTACAAGGCATTGCACTATTTACTGTGTGTGGTCTTAAGGACAAAGGTATAAAACAGACTGAGTCATGGAAAGAATTAAATATAGAAAATGCATGAGCTAAGGAGCAGCACTGTTAAGTCTTTTTTTTCTTTAAAGTAGCACATGATGGGTACCAGGGAAGGGCTGGACCACAGGTGCCATGGGAGTGTACATGAGCCCGGATGCATTTCACACTTACCTGGAGCTTCTCAATCAGAGGGGAGCTCTTCACCTTGATTTTAGGTGGGTGGCTGGTGCTGGATGGTGATTTCTACAGAGCAAATAGACCAAAAACAACCAAGTGAGCCGAGGAGAGAGGGTGGTCTTTTAAGCTGCCATACCCACTTACCTCGTCACGCCCGGATGGTCCAGGCTTCCTGTTTCTCTCCCCCACCCATCTCACCACAAGCAAGACCACCTGAGTTTGAGCTGAAAAGTCAGGGCAGACATTCGTACCCCAGAAAGCTTCCCATCCCAGGAAGAATGACCTCATTGTCACTAGGAAGAGAAACTACATCTGTGGGGATTAAGACCTTCATGCAATGGCCTTCTACAAGGCAAACCAACAATTTGAGGGAATTTCACAGACAAGGGGCAAAAATGGTCAGAAACAAAATAAACCACAGGCAGAGGTCTTATTAAAGTTCCTTTTTTGAATTAATATTTTGGAAAACTCCACCAATGGCATGGTCCATGTACTATGATTTTTCCAAACACTGAATATTCATCTAATTTTTCAGATACAGGAGGTTGAAAGCGATTTACTCTCTTCCCATAACTAACAGTCAGTGGCTACTATCTACTATGTATGCTCCGTTAATTACTTTTGTGATCAATGTACACCACAGATATTTCCTGCTTCCGGATTATATATTTGTAAAAAGATTGGCTCCTTCTTCACAGTAAACTTCCACTACTATGCAAAAGTGATGACAATCATATGATGGTTAAATGATGGCAGAGAAACAGAAGATGACTTTCATGTTGATGAAGAGGGCCAAGCACTGAAGGGATTTTTCCAGTAGTTGGGGACCAATGTGTGTTACCTCCCCCATCTCCATGTATTACTGTACTGGAACCGTAAGAAGAAAAATACTGCGATGTCTTGCTAATATTCTGAGGTGTCTGATTATATTTAGCTGTAGAAGAGAGACAGACTCAATTGACCAGGGGCCTGTTCAGATGCTGGTGCCAAAGGAGAGCACACTGCAGTCGATGGCTGGAACACAGAGACTTGCTCCTTCTGACTACTACTTTGGTGGCCTGATGGATGCTAGCTCTGCCAAGATTTCGTGGCTACAGCAAAGGATGTAGAGGGCTTTTCTTCAAGCTCTAGATTTCCTCTGCCTCTGTGAGTCTCCACTGCCAGACATGTTCCTAGGGCATCATGGTCCTTCAGCCCTAACTGGGAGGTTCTTAGTTTCTGGACGTCACAAAAGTTTCTGTGTTTTGGAAGATACCGCTCATAAACTGCAGCAAAAAATCTTCCCTACCAAAGTTCGTTTTAGGTAATATTATAAACTCTCCCAACTGTTTTTGAAGACAGTGGAAATCCAACTAACAGTGCTTCTTAACCACAGACAGGTGAACGGAGTGTGGAACTCCTAATGATTTGACTGGGAATCCAGTAAACCTCTAGTGCAGTTCACAAGATGGACAGTAGGTGGTAGTATTTAGTTTATAATTTAATCACCCGCTCCAGGCCAGTGGCTGGGGTTAAGACAATCTTCCAGGCCAGTGGCTGGGGCTAAGACAATCTGCAGAGATAAACCAACTTGACCATTCATATATTTATGTATATGTGTATTATTATGACATTCCAACAATGTAATATAACATATAGAGTTTGTGGACATGATGGTTTCAAATAGAGTGGTATCTGTGTCCTTTCAACATCCAGTCATCTGATTCCCTCAGAAAGGCAATGCCACTTTGCCTGTAGTCAAGTCAGCAGGTGAAATTCTGGCAGCTGACCCCACATCTCAGACCCAGAAGGCATAGGAGGTAAGAGATGAAGAGATCCTTGTGCTTGAGTAACCCAGGGTAACCTCCAGTAGGCTGCAGGTACTAAACAGGCATGTAACACCTCTATGCAGCCCTACCAGGTGAATTGCACCCACTTTTTCCGGCAGAGGTTTTATTTTGAAGCCCAGGATGACCTGGATGTGGCTATAGACAGACCAGTCTGGTCTCATTTGGCAATCCTCCCGTGCCGCTCTCTGAAGGCTGGGATTGCGATTGTGTGTGGTGACACCCCACTCTGTGAATTTCAAGGCAAAAAGGAAGTCACTGATCCTGGGGGCAGTGTTGTTTGTATGAACACATAGTATCTCACTGCAGAGGGATTTCCAGTTTCCTCTTCATTCTGCCCCTTGACCATTACATGCCTTTAACTTCTGGGTTTCTTGCCCATGGATAAAAGCTGTAAGTTTACTCTTATAAAGTCCATGTAATGAAGCCGTATAATCCAATCACTACAAACCTGACCCACTTCATCTGCTTTTATTCCCATGAGCAAAGATTCCCTATCCACAACCCCCCTTTCTGGTAAGTTCCTTACAAATAAGGAACTAGTATGGAGCAATGAGTCCTCTTGGGGCAAGCCTAGGTTATCAGGGGACAGCCTCAGCTGGCCACAGCCTCAGCCCTGCACTACAGCAGAGGTGCCAGGCTCAGCATGGAAGAGTTACGAGGAGAAGTTAACCCTTTGTAAAGAGAAGGTGGTTGTGGCATAGGCTGGGAACACCATGAAGCCATGGCGTCATGATGCCTGTACCTGAGGAGACCCAACAACAACAACAAAAACCAACCACAGTTTGTTAAACTCAGCTTTTGGGACTTCTCAGCTCACAAGACTACCCTGTTCAGTGGGGAGGGAGTTATTCCCAGAGCAGATGGCCCCAGACCCCACCCCTACTTGACTGGGAATAGCTATGAGTTCTCTGCCCTTTAAATGTCTTAAAATTTATTTTTAACTAAATATTTTTATGTGTATGGGTGTTTTGATGCCTGGTTGTCCATAGAGGTCAAAGGAAGTCATCAAATTCCCTGGCACTGGAGTTAAAGATAGTTGTGAACCACCATGTGATATGGGTGTTAGGAATTGAATCCACGTCCTCTGGAACAGCAATGAACGCTCTTATCCACTGTGCATATCCCAAGCACCACACCAAGTTCACTGTTTTTTAATTACATCTATCTGTCTGTCTGTCTGTCTGTCTGTCTATCTATCTAACTAATCTATCTTGTGTGTGTGCGCGCACGCGCGCGTGCGTGCGTGTGCCTGTGTGGAGTGTAAGAGGCACACGTAAGAGGACAACTTTTGGGAGTCATTTCTTTCCCTTCACCTTGTAGTTGCCAAGGATTGGATTCAGGTCATTGGGCTTGGTGGCAAATAAGTGCCTTTACCTGCTGAACCATCTTGCTGGCCTGAGCCCCCTGCTTTTTGATGCACTTGTAAGCTTTGGGTTGACAGAAAGGCTTGAAAAAGCATTCATCTACATCAACCACTCTGCTTTATAGAGGACAGAATGTAGGTCTGCCTGAGTTCACAGGGGTATTTGGTGCCTTTTATCAGGGTGCTGGTCCTAGAAAGAAGGGGAGGGAAAAAGAGGGAGTGCAAGTGGGAATTGGGGACTGAGCTTGTGTGACTTGCCTGCTCTATTTTGGGCTTGGCCTCCCCGGCCCGAAGACAATGTGCAAATCGGTTTCTGGCATGCCCATGGCTGTGACCACAGTGAAAGTTCATGGGCTGCTGGGCTGGGGCCTACAGCAGCCACTCTAACAGTTACAATTAGATAAATCCGACTGGGCAAACGTGCAGGCGGGGACTCTATTACTGGCTATGATCTACGACACCAGAGCCTTCATTATGCTGGCAGCACTGGCTATTTATATCCGAGGGCCAGGAGGCTTCCTGTGTGCTCTGGTTTTCTTCCACTGATCCTGAACAATAGGCAGCCTTTTCAAGGGTATGGAGAGACCATGAACTTCTCCAGCGTTATAGCTCTGCCTATGACCACACACTCTCGTTTCCAGGACATTCCACACCTCTTCTACCGCCATTTGCCTTAGGCTCAGACTGAACCATGGTTTTTGGTGTAAGAGGCTGGGAAAGCTAGCCACCAAGTTTGTGAAAGATCCAGGAAGTACCTAGAGGGACTCATTCTGAGTGGAGAGACCCTTGAGCAGATGTTGAGGTCTAAAAGTGTGATGTTTGTGGCTCTTCCTGCAAGGAGGAAACCCCACAGCCAGCATCTCGGACCCCAGGGTAGCACTTACCTCCTCACCATTCTGGCCCAGCTCTACCTTGGGGGGGAACAGGGGGAGGGAGCAGGGTGGTTTCCTTCTTGTTGGTTTACTGGCTGGTGTCTAGAGGGGGAGTGACAGACGACACAGAGAGAAAAAGAGAGGCAGTGAATCGTGCAATAGGGAGGAGGAGGAAGGATGGGAACCGGTGTTAGGCGTGGTTAGGAATGGCTAGAAGAGAAAAGAGCCGTGATGGAGCTGGCTGTCTCGGGGCTGTCCTCCTGCTGAATGAATTAGTGCCATGCACGCCATTATCTCCTTCCTCTTTCTGTTCTGCACTAAGGGCCTCTGAGGTCCCCGACCTGAGCCAGCCTCTCAGGATGACATCCACAGTTTGCCTTTGTGGCCGTGAGGCAGAACCAGTCCCTTAGATCAGTGCCACTTCCTTTGTCCTTTGGAGCATTCCTGTCTAGATACCATGGGTCGATTTTGTTTTTAGTTGAGAAAAGTGCAAAAAAAAAAAAGTGCAAAAAAGAACAAGGCAGATAGCTAAGCTGTCACGGCCCGTGCGGCCATGGCAGACCCTTTCCACCTGGGGACTCCCTACCTTTTACTTTTGTGCGACCATGGCAGACCCTTTCCACCTGGGGACTCCCTACCTTTTACTTTTGTGCGACCATGGCAGACCCTTTCCACCTGGGGACTCGCCCTTTCTTTTACTTTTGTGGTTGCTGCTTGACAGAGGCCTAGCCTTGAAGTCCTTATATAACTGAGGGTGACCTTGAAGTCTTGGTCCTCTCTCATCTAACACTCGAGCGCTGAGATCACAGGCCCACACCACCACTGTCCTGCTTAGCTCAACTTTCTGTTTTGTTTTTGTTTTTCAAGACAGGATTTCTCTGTGTAACAGCCCTAGATGTCCTGGAACTTACTCTGTAGACCAGGCTCGTCTTTTTTTTTTTTTTTGGTTTTTCGAGACAGGGTTTCTCTGTGGCTTTGGAGGCTGTTCGGGAACTCACTCTGTAGACCAGGCTGGCCTCGAACTCACAGAGATCCGCCTGCCTCTGCCTCCCGAGTGCTGGGATTAAAGGCGTGCGCCACCAACGCCCGGCCCAGGCTCGTCTTAAACTCACAGATATCCGACTGCCTCTGCCTCTTGAATACAGGGATCAAAGGCAAACGCTACCACCGCCCAGCCTCAGCTCACTTCTAATGGGAGCCACGTACTACATGACTGAGACAATCTAATCCAACTGTCCAAAGTCATAACACTTTAAAATTTCTTTTTTCTTCTTCAGCAGAATTCTTCTAGAATCCTCTGACCTAGTTTTCTTTTGGAAAATCCAAATCCTCAGTTCTGGATCTGAGGCAGCCTTACCTATCTCCTGCTTCCTAGGCTAACAGCAGGTGCTGGGTGTGGGGAGTTCTTTACTCTGAACCTGTCCAGGCTGGACAGAGGGGTACAGCACCCATCTGTGTCAGTGGAAGCACAGGATGAAATGGAGTCCACACTGCCTGATTTTCACCCCTGCTCGCCACAGTGGGAGCCTGACTCTGGTAGGGAAGGATTCTGCCCAAGCGCAAGCCCGGTGGTGGCACATTCCACACATTCAGAGGGACCCTCTCTGGCTTCTCTTCCTAATTTGGTAATTGCCAAGGTTCCTCCTGCCCTCTTTCTCCTCAGGGCCTGACTGGATTCCCCTTCCTCCAGGCCCTTACCGGAAGAGGATGCACCATGTCTCCAGACTTACCTCCCTGGCCACAGCTGCTTGCTCCCGAAACCGCCCAGCCAGCTGGGCCACGGAAGGCTGCGCTGAGCTGTCCACACTGGAGTTAGTCTCTGCCGATCTTTCCTGGCAAACAAAGGAGAGGCAAACATTAGTCAGCGACTGCACACTCTACTCTTAGAAGGGTCACATGGGGTGCCATGAACGACACCTGTTTCCCGGGTCCATCAGGAATTCTGTGAGGAGATACTTTTAACAGTATTTTGTAACTCCAAAATGCAAGATTAAAAACAACAACACCACACACACACACACACACACACACACACACACACACACACACACTATTCAGTCATCTTCATTTAGCGAGTAGCTACAATGTATTGGGGTTCCGGATGTGCCTCTGGGGACAAATAAAACAAGGCCTTGACTCTCACTCTGCAAAGAGCCGGGCGTTGGTGGCGCACACCTTTAATCCCAGCACTCGGGAGGCAGAGGCAGGAGGATCTCTGTGAGTTCGAGGCCAGCCTGGTCTACAGAGTGAGTTCCAGGACAGTCTCCAAAACAACAGAGAAACCCTGTCTCAAAAAACCAAAAAAAAAAAAAAAAAAAAAAAAAGACCCACCAGACACAGAAAGCATCAACAATATTTTGCAAACCTCCTTCCCTTGTTTAGTGACTCTGAAAAATGGGGGTACAATGGGGTGGCAAATGTGTTGGAGCCAGGGTCTCTGTAGGAAACAGAGAGAGCATTTGCCCTTTCTAGAATTTTCACATCCAAATGTATGTGATTTTGTTTTCCCTACTTAAGTGAATGCCTTGGGTAATAGAGACTCAGAGGCTGTCTGAGTTTGGTGACTAATGGCTGTGGGGGCTAGGCAGGCGAGGGGCAGGGTTGTTGCTATTATGACTGGCTATGGGTCCCGCTTCCAGTTCTGCAAGTTGTCCTCTGACCCCCCCCACACACACTTTAAAAAGAAAACACAGGAGGAGCTGGCTATGGCGGGACACACCTATAATCCCAACAATCGAGGAAGAGAAGGTAGGAAGGTCACGAGTCACGAGTTCAGGTCATCTTAATTTACAGAACAAGACCCTGTGTCAGAGAGGGAGAGAAAGTAAATCCAAAATCAGGTCATTATGTAAACCATGTGTGTGTAGCAGGAATGAGGTGCCATTTCCAAGGTCAATAACTCACCCTCTGTGTCATGGTGACAAGTGGCACCTGGGATGGACTATGCCCTTCAGGCATCTTGAAACATCTATAAACTAATGACCAGGGCTGAAGACTGGACCCACAGCCAGTGAAAACAACAACCCTGTTCCTTGTGCCCCCAGCCCCCACAGCCATTATATATCCAGTCACCAAACCCAGAGCAGTCTAACGAGAGACACACTAGCACGGCCCTGCCAAGCACAGATGGCTGAAGCAATGAGAGAGATGGAGCACGCCTCTGGTTGAGTTCCTGCAGCCCCCTCATTCCATCTGCTCCTGTCAGAAGTCAGTCCCTTCTACCTGTGTGCCCCGGGAATTGAACTCATGTTGTCAGGCTTGCTGGCGAACATCTTTACCTGTTGGATCATCTTGCTGTCCCCACCTCTTAGTGGTCTTATGTGCTCAATCCTAGAGCTACTAGGCTTTTCTTTCTTTCTTTCTTTCTTTCTTTCTTTCTTTCTTTCTTTCTTTCTTTCTTTCTTTCTTCCTTCCTTCCTTCCTTCCTTTCTTTTTGTCACCATGATGGTGATATTTCTTTAACACAGAGAACCTTCTCCCTCTCCCTTTGTCTTAGAAGGACTTGGGTTGCAGTTTGAGAATTTCCACCTCTGTCTCCCCTCGGGTATCATGGTGTCTGAGAATACTCACACCCCACTCCAGCAGTAGGCACACATCTCCATGCCACCTATACGCCTGCGCACAGACTCTGCCATGACCCTCCTTTCCAAGTGTTTTGACTTGGCCCCTACTGCCTCCTGGCAATCACGTGGAGAAAACACAGCTGTTTGTGCAGAGGTAGGGAAGCCTCCGCCCTGATGATGTGAGTGGCTGTTCTGGGGTCAAAGTCAGGCACTTCACTCCTGTTGATGTATCACTAAACACTAACATGGATTTCAAATGATTTACCTCTATTTAAGATGCCAGATTTCCCCCAAGTTGCTGGGAAAGCCCTGGAAGCCTGAACGTTCCCTCCAAAGATGTTGTTGTATGGGCTCAGGACTGGTCCCTGTCTGATCTTCCCACTGGCCACATGAATAGTGGTCAGAGACACACACTCCGCTGCCCCGGAGCATCAGAAAGGCTTCAGGGACACAATGAGGGGAGTCGAGTTGCCCTCGGCAAAGATGTCCATCTGTCTAGCTCCCTGCAACACACCAGCGTGGCCTCTGTCCACTGCTATTTATGACTCCAGCCCTGCTGACGGTGCACCTACCTCAGCTTCCAGGCGCTGAAGGCAGTGAGAGACATTCCAGTTAAAAATAGAGCCACAGAGGGATCAAAAACACCGGAACTTTCCTGTCTCAAGACGTGCTTGGCAAGGGGCTCAACAACAGGGGAACGGAAGGCTTCTGGAAGCACTTGGGGCTTACAGGTTGGGTGAAAGGAGATTCTAATACAGAGTTTGTTTCCCTAAGGCCCCTAGGTAATGAGTTTTCTTTAACCGGCAAGGCTTCTCACCCCCAACTATCTCCAGAACTCCTCACTTCCTAAATTTCCGAATACTGACAGATGAGTGCTGTGCTCCCTGAAGCCCAGAGGTACACATCATTTAGCCAAAGACACATAGGAGAAGCCAAATGGAATTAACCATGGAATATTTGACCCTGGCACCCAGCAAGTAATATATCCTGTGAAAGTACGTTAAGAACTGTAAAGGGCTATTATGTAAGTATCAAAATTATTATTAGCCACTGAGCCACACAGGTGCAATGGAGGAAGCATGATCTTCAGGCTGGTGGCTCAGCCCATGTGCGGCTTGCATGGCAACCCCAGCCAGCCACAAAGCTCCTTCAGTGGGTGCAACAGCTTGCAAGCCCATCCCAGGCCAGAGCTCCCACTGGACCTTGAGATTATCGGTACAGCACACACCTGGACTACTCTTAAATACACTATGTAGCTGAGATGATTTTGAACTTCGTTGTTGTTTTCAAGACAGGGTTTCTCTGTAACAGCCGGGGCTGTCCTGGAACTCGCTTTGTAGACCAGGCTGGCCTTGAACTCACAGAGTTCACACTCTGCCTCCTGAGTTCTGGGATTAAAAGTGTGCAACACTATGCCTGGAGATCTTGATCTTTTGATCTCTTCTTCCTCTCCCCAAGTGCTGAGATTACATGCATCCAACACAATGGCCGGTTGTATGCAGCACTGGGAACTGAACCCAGGGTTTTGTGCATGTGAGGCAGACACTATCAACTGAGCAACATCTGCAACCCATGTACTCTTGGTTCGAAGACAGACCTCAGTTGGAAACCCTGTCTTGAAACAAAACAAAAAGAAAAACAAAAAAGAACCTCAGTGTTTCTACGTCTGTCTGGGCATTCCCAAGACGCTCAGCCTCCCTGGATAAGTATCTTTTGTTTGTTTGTTTGTTTTCCTGGTTCATAAAGTACTTAGCACTGGGCTGGAGGCATAGACTGCTCACCAGAGTTTGGTTCCTTTGTCGCCCTCTCATTCGGCCCTGTCTGCCAGTGTAGGACCTGGGCACCTTGTCCTACAGTCGTTGACACCCTTCACTCACCCCGTGGACCACACCCAGTTGCAGCCCCCGCCTCCATGACATCCTTCTGGGCCTGAATCTTGCTTGCTACACCCTTCCTGCCACCAAGCAAGCCTGGCTCTGCCAGCTACCTTTGAGACCACAGTTGCAAGAATGTCTGACTCTGCTGAGGCCAGGGGAAAATCACCTGTGGTGTTTTCTTTCCGTGTCTGTGGGATTTTCTGAGAACTGAGGAGCCTGTGTCTGGACTGTGGAACTTCCTGGATGCCGTTGCCATGCCGAATAAATACAATTTGGAGGCTGCTGACCATCCACATAGTAGAACCTTTGTGTGTGGGCCAGAAGAAGGCCCTGCTGCCTCTCTGGCTCTGCCCTGCTTCTCCACTCTCCTTGTTGTTCCAGTCGAAGTGCCTAACAGTCTCTGGGCCTCAGTTTAGGGGACCAAGGTGTGTTGAGAAGCCTGACTGTGCATGGCAATGAGAGATCTGTGCCTGAGGGTGGAGGATCTTTCGCTCTTATCCAATAGGAAGGTTTCTTGCTTGTTAGAACAGTGAACCCAGAGCATCAAAGGCATAAAAGGGTCTTAAGACAAGGCTATCTCCTAGGAAGAGTTTCCATCCCTTAAAAAGCTGCTCCACCATCACTTGGGAAGGGTCTGTGTAGCATCGTGGAGTGTTCTCTTTGTTCCTAACTCTTCTATTTATCCCAATGTTTCCCTCATTGCCATCCTAGGGTGAAGGAGAGGCTACTGGACCTGACTAGGCAGGTTATCCTGCCTGCCTCTGTGAATACTGTTCTTAGAGCAGGGACACTGATTTTTGCCTCTTCTAGGGGACAAAAGTGGAACATACATGTAACAGAGTAACTTTCTATTAAGTGAGTAATTGATGGCCTGGGAACTGCCTGGGTTCTGGAATTTCAGCTTTTCCCACACCTCGGGTCCCACTAACCCCACCCCTCACTGGAGGGTGTGTCTCTGTCTCTTCTCATCACAGATCCTGTTCTAGGCTCTGAGTGTAACAGTGAACAAGACAGAACTGTTGCCCTTCCAGAATTTCTATTCCTGTGAGAGAAAGCATCAAGAAAGCTGTAGGTAGATCAACAGCCAGGTGATACGGGGTTATTAAGGGATGTGGCAGAGGCAAAGCAGGCCATCTTTTCTATGAGGGTGTGGAGAGATATCTCTGAGAAAGGAGTATCTCCGTTAAATCCCAGGCAGGGAAGAGTCAGGGAGGGAAGATGTCCTGAGCAGAATCACAAACAGGGACAGGATGAGTGACAGCAGAGATAAACGAGGTGGGGACAATCTGGGCACAGAGTCTGGTGGGGAGGTGAGGGGCTGGTCAGAGTGAGTGTCAGCTCCTGTGGACACACCTTTACAAGTGTTTCATTCTGAGAGTCTGGTGGGGAGGT